ATCGACCAAGAAGCACATAAGAACAGAAGGTTAAACATTCAAAGTCAGAAAATGTTTGGAGAAAAGGATTTCTAGGAAACCCTAGCTTTAGCAAAAATGGAAAATCACTCGAAAAACCAGAAGATTTTTTATGAAAAACATGTGAAATAGGTCCGATTCTTCTCAGATCTGAGAAGATTAAAGACAAAATTTAGGGTTTTTAGAAGTAAATCAGAGATGAGAATATAGACTCAGGAACCCACGGATTTAAGACGAAATAAGAAGTTCTTACACAAAATCGAGCCACAACGGCCTGAAACATGCAAGAAAGACCCAAAGGCGTAAGCACACTATTCTCAAGGACCTTAGAGATGGAAGTACCTAGCATAGAAGAGGCCATTAGAGGCCTGGGGTGGTGAAGAACCTCCATGAACGGCAGTAGGTGAGTGACGGCGGTGAAATTAGGGTTCGAGTTGGAGAGCATCTGAGAGACGGAGAGGAGAGGAATTTAGGGCGGCGGATGTAACCAAATGACTAGGTTAGGGGGGTCGTTTGAATTAAAAAAGGTAAGAAAGGATGAGGGTCGTTGATTTCGGAGATCAACGGCCAGGATTGAAAGGGGTCTAGGTCGGGTTTATTTAATTGGGGTTGGGCTAATGGGTTATTTGGTTTGGGTTCTCAGAATTGAGCTAGGGATTTGGGTGTTTGGGCCATTAATTTGGTCCGAAATTTTGGCTTATTATGGGCCAGCTCTTGAAACCCTTGAAAATAATAAAAATAAATTATTAAAACTTCTAATAAATGGTAAAAAATAATATTTATGCTGTGAAACTATTTTAAAATAGTAACTCGATATTATAAAAATATAAAAAATTATACTTTGACATAGATAATATAATAAACGCAATTACTTGTAGAATATAGGTCGTTATTGCAAAATTAGTTAAATAGCTTAATAATGCTAATGCAATTATAAAAAATAGGATAAAAATATGTGAAACATGTATTACGGATGCAAATGATAATTTTGGGGTAATTAAGTCATCACAAAGGAATTTAAAGGATAACTACTAGATATTTACATAATTTTAAATATAAGAAAAATTAATTTGAAGCTCTAAAAAATTATGGAAAATTATATAAAATGCTTGTATAGGTTTGTAGGCTAAGTGATGATGCAAATATGCTATTTTGGAAATATATATGTATATTAATAAAATATGAGGCAAAATTGGGTATCAACAACGTGCCTCGATATCAAAATAGTGAGGCAGATGCCCTTGCAAACTTAGGGTCGTCGGTCGAAGACGACAATCTCAACTTGGGGGCAGTCGTACAACTCATGAGGTCGATAGTAGAAGAAGGTCACGTCGAAATAAACTCCACAAGCTTAACTTGGGATTGGAGAAATAAATACATAGAGTATTTGAAGACCGGGAAACTTCCCTCTGATCTAAAGGAATCGAGGGCCCTGCGCACAAAGGCTGCCCGATTCAGCTTGTCCGAGGACGGAACCTTGTTCAGAAGAATGTTCGATGGCCCACTAGCAATATGCCTGGGACCGGGAGATACCGAATAAGTTCTAAGGGAAGTTCACGAAGGCACCTGCGAAAATTATTCAGGCGCCGAATCGTTGGTTCAAAAGGTGATCACAACCGGCTATTACTGGATCGACATGGAAAAGGATGCAAAAGAGTTCATACGTAAATATGACAAATGCCAAAGATATGCTGCGATGATTCACCAACCCGAGGAACTGTTACATTCGGTCTTATCGCCATGGCCATTCATGAAGTGGGGAATGGACATCGTCGGCCCTCTTCCATGGGCACCAGGTAAAGCTCAATTTATCTTATTTATGACTGGCTATTTTTCTAAGTGGGTTGAAGCAAAGGAATACGAAAAGGTCGGGGAGAAGGAAGTCATCGACTTCATTTGGGACCATATATGTCGGTTCGGGATGCCGTCCAAAATTGTATGTGACAATGGGAAATAATTTATCGGTAGCAAAGTGACCAAGTTTCTCGAAGATCGTAAGATCAAAAGGATCTTATCGACACCTTATCACCCTAGTGGGAACATACAAGCCGCATCGACAACAAAACCATAATCTAAAACCTTAAGAAAAGGCTGACCGACGCCAAGGGAAAATGGAAAGAGATCCTGCCCGAAGTTCTTTGGGCATATCGCACAACTTCAAAGTCTAGTACCGGGGCTACCCCATTCTCATTGGTTTATGACACCGAAGCTCTAGTACCGGTCGAAGTCGGGAGCCAAGTATCAGATTCCGATATGCAACAAAGTAATTAAATGACGAGGCCATGAATACAAGCCTGGAACTATTGGATGAAAGGCGTGAAGCCGCCCTTGTTCGACTGGCTTCCCAAAAGCAACGGATCGAGAGGTATTACAATCGAAGGGCCAACCTTCGGTACTTCAATATCGGGGACTTAGTACTAAGGAAGGTCACATTGAACACCCAGAATCCAAACAAAGGAAAACCGGGTCCGAACTAGGAGGGACTATACCAGATTCTCGAGGTCACCGGGAAAGGATCCTATAAGCTCGGAATGATGAACGGAGAACAACTACCGAACAACTAGAACGTAACTCACCTAAAACAATATTACTGCTAAGGTACGGCCCCATTTCATTTCCTTTTATTTTCAAACTAACACTTTCAGGTGGTCGGCAAGGGGCGGCACGAAGTCTTTAGGTCTGAAAGCACGTATTGCACTCTTTTTCCCTTGAACCGTTTTTGTTCCAAATGGGTTTTTCGGCAAGGTTTTTAACGAGGCAACAATGGATTGTGCTAACTTAGAATCAAAGACTGATCATGAATCGTTGTTGAAGATCACGTTAACAGTATCCGAGGTTCCTCTACAATCAACCTCGAATACTGGGGGGCATTACCCTCGGACATCGACTTTTGCGAGGAATCGTAATACAAGGGTCTCGATAGGTAGGATTTGTTGTAAGGGCCAAATGGTCGAAAGAACCGTGCCCACATAGACTGCTCGAGCCCTGGCATAAAGCATGTACGCATGTATAACTATTTTTCACAAGAATAAATAGAGGTACATTCCTTGCAATTATCTTATGTTTTAAAAGTTTCCTCTTTACATCCCTTAAAGAATTTCGTACTTTCGATCTCCTAAAGGTAATGATCCCAAGGGCCGTTTATAACCAAAGTTTTCCTCACTCGGGGACTGGCGTCCGAAAATAAACTCGAACAGATCGAGCTATTAAAACATCGAGGGCATAAGACCTTTTAGGAAAACCTCGAATTTTTGAGGCCACGGCCGTACCCACTCGGGGACTGTTTTCATAGGCAAGCCGAGATAACTCGGGAAAGCAAGTCCACTGGGCGACACCCAAACTAAAAGGCTACGACCATATTGACACGGTCCGGAGATGTCCAAAACTCGTAACAAAAACTAGGCCTTTGAAAAAGAATTTTTTTTATATAACCGGTTCTAAAGGCTACCCTCGGCGAACTACGATTTCGGCTACTTACTTTGGGGAAAAAGTTTCCGGTAATACCGAACCCCTAAGATGCCTTAAAATAGAGTAATGTAAAGGCAAGGTTTGTTGGAACTTTCGAACATAACCTAAGTTATTTTATAATAAGACATCTCGACCTTGGTGAATACAAATAATAAGGTAAAGGGAAAATATGAAAGCCGAAAGGGAAATAACAGCCTCATATATATATATATATATATATATATATATATATATATATATATATATATATATATATATATATA